AAAATAAATGCAAATTAAATGAGAACAGAGGGGAATTTTCGTTTAACAATTTGACAGAAATTAGCACATGTGCTGTACTGTTACCAAGACCTGTCCTGGCTATGATATTTTTACAGCAGGTAAATGTAACTTTGTGATCAACAATCTTTTTTAACTGCTCAAAACTTTCCACTCTTTGTGCCCAGTACCAGACACAGTGGAAGGCACAGCTCTGAACTGAATTTATCAGCTTTTCAGCCTGGAGAAGAGAAGGCTGTATAGAGACCTCATAGCAGCCTTCCGGTATCTGAAGGGAGTTTACAAGGATGCTGGAGAGGGACACTTCATCAGGGCTGTAGCAATAGGACAAGGGGTAATGGGTTTAAACTTAAACAGGGGAGATTTAGGTTGTATATAAGGAAGAAGTTCTTTACTGTGTGGGTGGTGACGCACTGGAATGGGATGCCCAAGGAAGCTGTGAATGCTCCATTCCTGGCAGTGTTCAAGGGCAGGTTGGACAGGGCCTTGAACAATCTGGTCCAGTGTGAGGTGTCCCTGCCCATGGCAGAGGGGTTGGAACTAGATGATCTTAAGGTCCTTTCCAACCCAAACCATTTTATGATTCTATAATTCTATGGTCTGAGCCTAGATAAGCAAAACAACAATTTTTTTCCCCTGTATCCCTGGATGATATCATCACAGTTATGTACATCCCCATATACTTTGTGGGAAACTTTCTCTTAATTACAAGCGTTTCATAAAATTGTATTTGAGACAGTCTCTCACAGCTCAGTCTCGTTGTTACCCACTCTTTGATTCCTTATACAGTCTGAGAATGAGATGAGGACTAAAATGAACCAAGAAAGCCCCCAAACTTTTCACTGGCTCACCCAGTTGGTTGAGACTTGAAATAGCCTCTGTGATTTGTATGCATTGGCTCTAAAGCCCATTTTGGCATTTGGCTGGTGACTGACAGCTGCCAAAATTTGGTATCTAAGCATCATATCAGATCAACTGGATTGCTGGGACAGAGCTGTAGTTTGAATTCTGAAGTATACTTCTAATGTAATTCCAGTTTCTTTAATGGTCACTGTACTTGACAATGACTGATGCTGTGAGCCTCTTCTGGGGTAAACCCCAGACTTTCACTTGACTAAGTCAGTCTATTCCGGAGCACTCTGTACACTCCCCTATCTCTATCACCTCTCAGTAGAGCATAGATTTTTGATTGCTTTTAATAGTATACACTTCCTTCTCTCATCCTCGGACATCATTGTCATTTCCTCTTCATAGGCTTTGCTTCTGCATTCCCAAGCTCTATTTTGGGACATCCTAAGCATATCACCAGTTGTTTCAATGCTTGTGGAAGCTCTCCTGATGTAATCAGAGAAGTAAGTCCACCCAGAAAATCCACAAGGCTGGATGAGACTCCCTTCAATTACTTCAGTTTGCTTCCAGGAGGAGTTCATAGAATCACTGTCTCACTCCTTGCCAGAATCTACAAACTACAGTACATTATCACTACTGATGGACCAGTTCTGTGACACTGGTCCTTACAAGGAAAGGTACCAAGAAACAAAACCCTTTCCCTGGAGGAGAACACTGCTCAATCAGCACTACAGCTGTTTACTAGCACCTTCATGACGCTGTTGGTCACAATAACTCTTTAATTTATTCAGACTCTATTAAGGGTTAAAAGTATGGCATATGTTGACAGCCAACACTCCTCACTAACAGGAAAGACACACTGCTGTGGGGCCCAGATCTCAGCTTCTCCTTTGCTGCAGCTGTCTGTGGATAGCAGCTAATTGTATCCACTTTTTAACCTCGAGGATAGCGTCTGGAGGGGACCAAGTGCCACAAGCATACTTTTTTTTTTTTCCAACGGTCATTTCCTCTCTGGTGTAACTTGCATGACAGCATGTGACAAGCAGAAATTAATAGGGACACTGCTGTGCCAATACCTCTTGAATTGCTTTGACACTGGCTGCAGGCTGCCTGCTTGGCCACCCAGCCAAGACCTCACATGAAATGTGGCAAGGGGCCCACAGCTCTATTCACTAACAAGCCAGCTGGTCAGTGATTAGAAAGCTGAAACAATGCTGTGCACATACATCAAGAAAAATGCTTTACAAACAGCTTTGGACTTCAGAGGTAAAGTCTTCTAGAAGAGGAAATCTGTAAATTTATCATCTGGGGACTGCTACCTTCAGCTAACACCACGGATAACGTGGAAGGTCCTGGAAGATGACTGTCCTACACTGTCACCTGAGCAGAAGAAGGGCTAATCTCAGAACAAAGACTAAAATCTCAACATGCTCAGTATCATGTGCGAACAGCTTAGACCACATGGATTGTGGTCCAGAGGAGCATTCAAACTATGTAAACACATAGAGATTTATGACAGACCACTCTTCCTAAAGGTCTATCAACACCTTAGCAAGATTATTGACATTTCTGCATAAATTCTCCCCGGATTTGTCTGCAGTGTACCATCAAGAAGGATGAGGTTTGTTTATACGCTGATACACAACAACAAAGGATGAGACTAGACGCATCCCAGGGGATTTGGATGACCAGATCTCCTACACCCAAGGCAGCTTTGATCATTTCACCAAGCTTTTTTGAACAGCATCCACTAAAATTCATAAGTTCGTTATGAAACACCTATGTGGCAACAAGAAAATAAGTCATGCTTCTTTTGAACCATGAAAAAAAGCAGTCAAATGGATCCTACAGATTAGAAACCCCAAAAATCATTTAAAATCAGTAGGGCTTGGGCTCCTAATTTTCATTGCTCCCTTGAAGTTACAAACTCTGTCCAGCAATTTTTAATTGAAAAAACTTGTTTAAACTTATCACCAGCATGCTCTATTACCTGATACACACATATCAGGACATATACAGACACATATGAGCTCAAGGCACTGTAAAAGAGGCTGGCAAGACAGCAGCCACTTTGTGAATTAGAAACTGGGGTTACTGTAGAGTTTGGACTTTAGGCCTCATTAATTTTGACTGTTTTCATTACAAAAATCTCTAGGAATTCAGCATAGTCATGAACAGCACTTGCATGCTAAGGAAGAAGAGATGGCTTTATATTAGGCCCAGCTAAAGCCCAGTGAAATCACTGGGACTCTGTCCGTCAATTTTCAAAGATCTGAGTTGGTCCCACTGCTTTATAATATCTCCGTTCTCCTCTCACACTCACCAGGTCCAGGAAGACCTTCAGAAAGATGCAGCCAAACTTCTCTGAGACAAAACTGTCAGCATGACACCAGACATTGAAATGCAGCTATTCTCTAGATTTAGACACTCCTTTAATAAATAGTTAACAGTTTTAATTAAAGATGTGAAAGGAAGCAGGAAGACAATCTCTTCCAAATCCCTCCATGGAATACATAATAAGTAAAGCTCAGTTTTGCACTTTTTAGAAGCCACTCTTCAATGATTTTTTTGGTTGTAATGTACTTGCATGGCAGAAGCATTGTGATGCTCATCAGTGCCGTACAATGGCTCAACATCAGGGTGAGTTACTACCCGAGCTCTAGTTACAGGAATTCATTTAACTTTGCTGCCTCTCTTGCTCCATATTATAAATTCAGGGATAATGGTTAACTACTTCATGAGTGTTGCAAAGATTAACTGGTTAATGTTTGTTAAGTACTCCAAAGATCTAGAATTTGCTTTCGTTATAAAGGCATGACAACCTTGAAGAAAGCCAACGACAAACACAAGAAGAAAGATTTCTTGGATGTAAGTTATGGGTGGAAATGGGCTTCAAGAAAGAGCTGAAAGGGTACAGTGGCCTACTGGAACCAGCTTGGCAGGAGCCCCAATCCAAGACTTGTACATATAGCTTTGCAATGCTGCTGGGATGAGAATCTTATTGATGCCTTAGCACACCTAAATCAAAAGTAGGGAACAAGACAATTGTTTTTTTTGACAGCACTCTCAGCAGATTGCGTTGTTCTACATATTCACCGTAGCAATTCATTTGCAATTCTATTATGCTGAATTAAAAAATCCACAGCTCTTGAACCAAGAGCATTACAAGGGAAACAGGCACTTCATCCTACAGCCAAGCCGTAGTGAAGAGGTCTTGCAAGAGGAGCCAAGTGCACAAGACCTTTTGTTTTCACGAAAAGCATGAGGAATTTGCTGACAGCACCAGACTACGGGAACTACTGCTCATTCCCTTCCACTCACATGGTCCATCGACTTTCTCCTTTCTTTTCTTTTAAAAGTAGTGTTTACTTTAAAAAGCAGAATTCCCTACCTTTTCCTTCTTTCTTTCCTCCCTTCATGCGTCCTGTTTCCCTTTTCTGCCCCATCCCCAGTTCTGACCCTTCTCTCTTTCACTGCACCCCATCCCACTCAGCCATCTCCTCTCCCACTGAACTCACTCTCAGGCCTTGTGGTCCTACTCCACCTCTTTGGGTTGCTGCCTCCCACAGGCCAGGTGATTACCAAGCAAGCTAGGTCAGCAGAAGACGCCAGCTATTAGCATTAGTGGCTCATCTCAGATTTCTCATATAACAAACCTTAACAAGTAGTGATAATGCCAAAGAGTTTTGCTGTGCCTGCAGTGGTGGGAATGGTCCCACACATCTGAAGAGTCTCTCTGAAGTTCCATGGCCCATAGCCCCTCCAGTTCTGATCAAAATGACACTGATTTACATTAGTGTAAATTAGAGTAAACCTTGCCTTGTTTTTGTTTGAACACTTGACTGGTTCTTAAAAAAGCAGGCATCTTCGACACAATGAGTGATGAGCCTACTTATTTCTCAGTGTTAGGACAACAGACAAGAATCAGCTCTGCTTTGGGGATGAGGGTGAGGTTTAGGGATAGAGGGAAAGGTGTAACATGAGAGTCAGTAGTCTTCCTGGGAGGGGGGAAGATTGCCTCCAGTATTTTTTGAAAGTAAAGTGTCACAAATGACGCACGTGACAAATGCAGCTTGTGACATATGCATCATTGCTTCTCAAAAGGGTAACTTGAGACAAGCAAAGAAGTATGCTGTTTATTATGTAAGCCAATCTGGAAAAGAAAACGACATGTCTTCTTGTGTATCTTCACTGCAACCATTCCTAGAAAACCTATGAGGATGAAAGTACCTACAACCTAAACTGGAGCACATACCTTTGCGCTTTGCTGAATCAGGCCCTAAAAAAGTAAGTCTTTTGTTTTCCCTATCAACAACAAAATATTTACAAATTATGCAATACAATATCAAATTCTGCATTATTCCAAAATGACAACAAACTGTATCTTCAGAAGGGCAAGTGAGAGAGGATAGGGATCACTATCAAAGGACTTCTGTTTTCTTTTGTTTATTAAATAGCAACTGTATTATTTACTGCAGCTTTGCAAGCTAGTGAGCAGCTGGGTGTAACACATTTCCATGCTGTGTAACCTCTCCTTATGCTTCGTTAGATTCCTTATCAGGACCAGAAGAAAAGAAATCTCTCTGTTATGTTTTTCCTGTGGCAAAGGAAAAGACAAGATGATGACTTTCCAGCTCATTTCACTTGTACAACATTCTCATCAATCACCATGGGGTAGGTCTTTGTTATTTTCACTGAAGGACTGTTCTTAGTTTTCTGTCACAATAAAGCATGACTCCACTAATTAGCAAATCAAGGTTACCTCCACCACATTTGCAAAAGAACAAAATGCAAACATAAGACTAAAGGTACTTCTGAAATATTTTCCAAAGCCCTAGTTTCACAGACATAAACCTAAGTTGAAATAGGTCTAAATTCTCTGCACTGAAATGAAGGTTAAAATGTGAAACAGAGTAGGTGAGGTAAGGAAGCTAAACTAACCATTTCATCAAGAACCAAAAGCTTTCTGCTTGTTTTGCGACTTTCTGCTCCAGAAACCAAGCAAAGAAACTGTGGTTCATATTTGTTTTAAACTCCCTGTCAAGCATGCATCTCTTTGCAGTTTTGGTTCACTATAGCCCACGCAGCTTGGCCTCTATTCCCCTTTTCCTAAGTCTTCAATAAGCCCTATAGACATCAGCAGGAATTACGTGAGCAAACAAAAAACAAGAAAGGGATATATTCTAATCAACACAAAACCCTAATAAAAAATGCTTTCTAAGATGGTTTCTCCTCCTTTAACTTCATGTTTTTATATGTCTTTTCCTTTTTGGTCTGTGTTGCTTCTCACCGAAGGACAGTTATACACAACATACTATTGTAATAACAAGCATATGGCTCAGAGATCGCTGTTGACTTTCTCAAGTCTCAAATTAGACACTTTTATTTAAAATACATGAAAGACATCTGTATACTCTTTCATTAAATGCATTTTACATTTGTAACATCCTACGTATTCTCTTGGAACCATTTCCATTAAAATGCCGACTCTGGGTTTGGACAGCAAGCATTTCCTTTGTAACACTGAGGGAGGAGTATGTTACTGTCAAAACTTCTCTCTAAAAAGTCCTTGCTAAAATATTTACCCTGCTTGTCAGAACAGGAATATCTGCAGCTAATTCCAAATGAAAGAATATTTTAGAATGAATCATAAACTAGATGTTAAAAAAAGGCAACACAGCCATTCCAGTACCCCTTCCCTGCTGTAAAACTACACGAAAAATGACTCTGTGTTTGCACGCACAGAATATTGTAACATTTTGGAGCCTTCTGAGATTCCTTAATTGTAGTTATGCAACAGAACTGTCATATCCTAAAACAAAGGACAAACATTCAGCAGCTGAATTTACTGGCTTGGAAATGAAATGCTCTTAAGAGATGGTTAACATGTCTTCTTGATTATTTTTGGCATTTTAAAGTTACAGTGCAATGCTTCCTATTGCACAGACCAAAGAAGTGGGACATTTCAGAAATACTTAGAATTTTTATGGCGGTTTGTAAATTCACATATTTAGCAACACTGAAAACTGCTGAGCAGTAACTTTGTTTGCAATTAAGCCACTAATTTCAATGCGCCCTTTATGGTATAAGACACTGTTCAGTATTAATAAAGATATAATGTGACATAATGTTATAATTTGCTGGCTTCTAATGAGCTGGCCGCAATAGTAAAAAGCAGCTGCTTCTTTTAAGTGGGTATTCTCAAGAGTCACGATTTTCAAAGAAGGCAAATGGGAAAATTCTGTGGCCAGAACAGTTATGGTATTAACGAAAAAAGTAATAAACAAACCAGTCCGTCAAACCTGTGATCCTCCGTAACCCTTTTCCAGGACTGAGTCAGTTTACTGCGATGACCAACTATGACACACTTTTGTGAATAGTCAGGATTTGGGGTCCAAAGGCACAGACACTGCTTACACGTAAGTTTTGAGGGAAGACTACTTCCTCACTCTGACAAAGCATTTAAACACAAGCAAATGCATGTTTATGACTAATCTGAGACTACAGAAACAATGGTTTCAATTCTTCTTTAACCCTGGAATGTATCAGGTTATAGTATAGGATAACAACTGATTCTCCTGTTAGCTCCTCTAATTCAGTCTTTCAACTCACTTCTAAAGCTGGAGCAATCTGTTTACATAAAATTAAGCAGAAGCTTAAGTGCTCTGATGGAGCAGAGCCTCTGCTCCCTTTGGAGTTTCTTCCTTAAGGTCTACAGTTGAACCGTAAGGTTCAGGTATATATTCCAGCATGAGTTTAAATGTTTTACGTACACTGACATCAGTGGTAATATTGTATAGCTGTAACGATAACGGAGAAGAAGAACCTAAAATACTGATGTTTATGAGTCTTTGGATAAAAGGCTTCCAACCAAAAAATTACAGACAAATTTGATCTAAGAGCTAAAGCCATCGTAATTTGCTCTTAACTGCAAACTCTGGAGGAAAACAAATGAAAAGCTGCTTGCTAACTGATGCTAATAGCACTGCACGACATGCACCCCTGGAGGAACCCGAAGAAGCCCACAGTTACACGACAGAAGAATTTGACCAATAGTTGCGCTCTGGGGTACCAACATGGGCAAATATTACAAAACCATGTCTGTTTTATTAGAACTACAAATAAATTACTCATTTTAATTTCCAAATATTTTCCCCTGCTGCCGCACCAAGAGCAAGCAACAAACAGCATTTCTGTTATTTTTCTCACGTTTCCATTCTAAATTTTCTGTCTTCTGGCAGCTGACTGCAAGCTTACTAGTAATGTGTGTCGCTGTTTAGACTTATTAAAAAGACGGATATTCTCAAAATGGAAGAAAGCTCATTTTATCTCACTTTGAAACTTGAGGAACCTGTAACATGAACCATCCACTGATTACAGAGCACTGACATATGAAGGAAGCAGTTGTGTAAACGTGTGAAGTGGCTGTGGTGGGGAAACAGCAGAGCACAGGAGAAGCACAATTTTAGACAAATAATGCTGTTGTAGGATCTGATTATCATGACTCATGGTTAACAAGGTATTGTGTAAAGGCCAGCCAAAAAGGAGGGCCTATTACAGTGAGTCCTTATACAGTCAAGGGTTTTCATGCAGCCTCTTCCATTAAAAGCTTACAAATAATATGGACAAGACAGACCCCAGGTGGAGAAATGGTGTGACAGTTCCATGACATTACTTTTTAATGGGAGTAGAGTCAGTTAGGAGGGAATAAGCAAAATGGAAAGAGAAGTGATGGACAGAAAAATTCTGGAGGGAGGGAAAGAACCGAAGATTGCTATACATTGTAAATATAGAGTGGAAGTGAGGTGAAAAAATGAAGATGGAAGGGAAGGATGGAGGAAAGGGCTGGGAAAAAAATGCGATTAGCACAGGCAGAGAACACAGAGTTAAAATCACTGAAAGCTCTCTGAGTGTCAGAGGTTTTAGCTTTGGTTGCTCCAGCAGCTGAGGGTAGCTGGCTGATGCCACTGGCTGGAGCTTCTCTGCCCTTTTGTCCCTGACAGCCAGAGGGCAGGAAGCTGGAAGGAACCATGTGTGTTCTGATATCTGCAAGGGCAGGTGGGATGGGGGGTCTCCAGGTGACTCTGATCTCACACACTAGGTAGGACAGAGAGGCGAGGCCTCAGCTGCGTCCCATTTTATTCCTTCCCTGTAACAGCCCTCATTCCAGCTTGGCTGTATCTGATAATGAGCTGAAACATAAGCCTATAGGATGGACTCTAGGAATCAGCAGAAATACATGTGTGCGTATTATACACATGTATGTGTATGTGCAGTACGCCTTCACGTGTACACATATAAAATAAATAATCTACACCAAAGCACTCCCTAGACACAGGATGAGAATTGGTGCTCTCCCTTCTGTGTTCTTGAACTGTTGATTATTTTCTAAGCATCTGAGTTGCCAGTTCTGGCCTCTTTTGGCTCACATCTATTTTGAGATCATGAACTTCATAGACAGTAGAGTGATGACCATCAGGGTTCCCATTCCCTTTCTCCCACTTGCTGAAATAGCAACATTCTTTCTGCAAATATGCCAGAGGACTTTTACAATAATTGTATGTATATATGTATGTCTTTATGTACCTATATATATATAAATAATTTTTAAATTCTTAAAGCTAATTTTAAGTCATAGATATGTGAACATGCAATACAAAACAATTCCACCCCATCCATTTGCACGGGATGTTGTTCTCTGGCATAAGCTAAATACATCTGTTACAAAGGAAAAGAAACAAACTCAACATATCTTGATTAAATCAGTGTGCCAATAAAGTAACATGCTTCAAATTAATTTTTACTGTGGGATGAAATAACCTGCCTATTCACTGGCATATAAGCAGTGCATGTAGCTAGTGCAAGAGTATTAAATTTCTCTTGGGGTGGAATAGAGAAAACAGTTTTATAACACATAATTTGTTTACTATATTATCTTCTATCAGCGATGAGTTGTCTGTGGAAAACTTCTTAATTATTTTACACTACAGCTGGATATATGCTGTGAATAAATATGGACACTGTGTGAATATTCTAGTACAGAGAATCTGAGCTGCAGTAACTTGGCTGAGTTGGCTGAGATGGGAAATTGAGTTGGCTATCCTGGTGCAATGCTTCTTGTCCCAGATCAACTGAGTTCAACCCTTAGAATCTAGAGTTCAACAAGAAAAAATACATTGGCCAGGTTTCCCAAGTATCTGTCTTGTCACAGTTTGTGTCATTTGGTCGCCCCTTCCACATTAAGTATAAAAGTTCTGAAAAAGGGTGAAGTATAGCTCTGTGGATATGCAGAAGCATAGGTGCCTTATTTTCTTCCAGTGCAGAAACTGGTAAGAAAGTGATTTCTATCTGCCCCCAACTTTTGTTGATCAAGAATGGCTCTTCGAACATCTCCTCTTTATCTCATATATGCTGCAATTCGACCTTCAAATTAGTTGTCAAAAATGACATATGGCTTGTAAGAAAAGTTCAGAACATGGGTAAATCCAGACATTTCAGTCTTTTGTTCTGCCACCGCTTTACGTACACCATAAGTTGCAACAGCTTTCTCTTAATTGCTTTAACTGTGGCATCTCATCTTTGATGAAGAGAAAGATTCTGAAAGCAAGAGTGATACTTCTGCTGATCGCTGAGGTAGGATTTACTTGCAGAGCAAGTTGTGACTATACACCACCACTGAGACAAAGGAAAGCATCTTGAAAATACTCCCCCTTCCAAGGAGTGGCCACAAGCTCACTGTGGAACAGTACAGCACTGTCTCTGACATGCTGCCTGCCATGTAGACCCACTTTTACACCTGCTTGAGCATTATCCCTACCTCATGATCTCTTTCTTTCTTCAGTGGCATCAATGACTTTTACATAGCAATTGCTACCACACTGATGTTCCAACAGCAAAACTGCAGTGCGACGAACAATCCAAGAGCATCTGCAGAAGATCTGGAGCAGCAGGATCCATAAGCTTTCTTTTTTGTATCACATTAATGTCCAGCTCTGCAGAACTAGCAGAAATTAAATGAGCTGATAGCAACATTTCACTTCCAGTGTTTGTAATACTGGCATTTTGCAATGATTTGATCATAAATCCTGCTCTACCAAAGGCTCAATCTCCATCCCTGCCCACAATTCAGAATCTTTTCAGTTTCTTAATTCCCTTTGACTTTCAGAATAAAGATGATTTCTGGCCCTCCATCTATTGAAAACAATAGCTTCCTTCTGACTTCAGAAAGGATGTGTCCCTTAGAGCTGCCTTGAGAGTTTGGGCCATTGAAAGAAAAGTAGGTTGAGACGTCTACTTAGAGTCCTTGTTTGACATCTTTTCACAGTGACATTTCTAATTCAGTGTCACTGTTTTGAAAGGCTAAAATTATTATTTCAGGCAGGTTGCTTTCATGAATTATGCCACAATATTGCTTGACTGCCTTCCAAACTGGAACAACTGAAAAAATGTGAAGCGCTCCAATGATTTTAAATCACTCTAGACAGGACACAGTAATTGAAAATTATTGGAGTGCCTCACATTTTTATGAGCTCTCAGTTTGCAAGCAATGGAGGTAGTCCTGGGCTATAGCACTGTAAAAACCCAACTATACGTTATCACCAATTTGAATTTGCAAATGGCAGGAATTTGAAGATATTTAACACCACCATAATTAAAATCAGAGGCTGTACACTGACTGTATGGGAAATAAATGACAACACCCACAACAGAGGGAACCACTACCCTTTGGAAAATATCCTCTTTTTAAGGTTTAGTTCCTCTAGAGCTGTCACTTGTGCAGGGCACCTGCTGTCTCTCCTGCAATCCTTCCACGAAGCAGTCCAAACCCTAGCAGTACCATAACAGAGAAAAAAAAAAAAAAAGATTTATCTCACAGTAATATATCAGTTCAGTCCTTTTGTTTTTCATGTCTTTTTAGTGGCAACTCTTTCATTCATAATACAGAGTCCAAACAAAATTTACTGCAAAATATTCCACAAAGAATGAGATCCTCAGCAGCTGTAAATGAGCATCATTTCACTGAAGCTAATGGATTTATACCTCTTAGTATCAGTTTTGGGTCTGATTCATTATTTTTGGACTCTAAATTCCTCACTAAGTTTTGCTTCTCTCTTTACAACAAAAGTACTGACAGGAAAATGTTAGTAACAGCTCTTAGTATCTTTCTTATTAATTTGAGTAGGCTCTTTTTTTTCAGTTACTTCTAACTTTGATGTTGTTAAATATGGCCACACTCTGAAGACTCACAGTACTGGTGAATCTGTTTTCCTGGAATATCTTGTGCTGTTTTCAGAATTGCATGATTGTGTGACATCTGCTCCACATCTCATACGTGATCGAGCGGGTAGGTACAGATGGCTGATGACTCACCTCACAACACCGAACACTGGTTTGCCTTCTGAGAAGCAACATCTTCATATTAATTTTGTAAGAGTCTTGCAAAGATATAACTGGTGTGCCTGGTTTGATAGCAGGTAACGTAAGTTACAGGAAATGCACAGGGATGCAACAGCTATATTTATCTAGGACTGGGGGTAATACTTTAAAATTCAATGTATGGGTTACTATCAGATAAATCCACAAAAGGAAATTAGGTTCACTGCTGTACTTTCTCAATTTTAGGCATCTAAATAGCAAAACCTGGATCACCGAATCAGAATGGAGACCTAGGTTTCCTATGCATAGGAGAAACATTGAATAATATCCACAGAAGCAATTCAGTAGGAATCAGGAAACGCCAGATAAAAAGATATACCTTTGATTTGTCTGCCCTGTTCCAGGCTGCAGGGGAATACCATGAAGATTCACAGATCACAGACCTGAGTAGAAGGACATTCCCAGCTCTTGTAACACCCCACGACAGATAAAGTATGCACCTGTGCTGTTATTGGAGATGTTTGTTCTGCTCCCTCCTCTGTGGACTGTCACACTGAAACAGGCCCAGCCCAGTTAGCATGTGTCGCTTGGGTAGGCTAAATTTTGATCAGTTGTGAGAAAACTACTGCAAGAAGTCACAGCTTTATTTATAATGACATTACCTTGTAAAGGTAACTTGCTTCATCACTAAAAGGAAAGAAATAGGGTAACAATTTGGTATCCCCTCTTATTCTTCCAGACTCCTTGGCCAGCAGAACAAGATGACTGGGGGGAACTCCACAGAACAAGATGACTGGGAGGAGCTCCAAAGAGCCATTACTAACCACTTAATTTACAGCTCTATATACCAAGCCATCATATGCAAATTTAAAACTAAGTACTGTTATATACCTTGAAATAGCTTAAATCAATAATCATCAACTTGTTTGCATGCACATGATTTCCATATTAAAAATGTAATTAGCGTTTTAACAAACATATCCAAATCCTTCAGGATCAAAAACCCCATGCCAGCCTCACAAACATCACCTCAAAATGCGACCACCCAGCTTAAGTATGCTTCAGTCCCAAAGACCAACACATCAGAATGCTTTAGTGGCCTGTTAACATTTTTAAGACTTTCTGTGGCAGTGGTGTCATTCCCATTTCCACTACCCTTATGTCAACTAACAGAAGTTCCTAATGAGCCAAGTCTCTCGGATGCTCAACTGCTAATGCCATTAACATTACCAATGACCTGTGCATGACTAACAGCTGTGTCCTGAGGAAACTGAACTCATACCTTCCATTTCCACATAAACTGCCCTAATGAGTGTCCCAGGAAGAAAAGAAGGGAGGATACGATGGCTACAGAGGAAAGAAGGAAGACGTTGTCATTGCCGATTCTGATTCATGCCATATGGAACATACATTAACAAGATCTAACAGAGGAAGCCAGCAAGGGTGAGCAAGGCTATAACCCAGTAGCTATAAGGACATATTAATCAGATTAAGGACTTGGCCACAGTTCCCTTTCAAAGGTGAATGGCATGTCCATGGGTATTTGGAGTCCTGTTCTTCATCCCTCTAGTATACTCCATGAAAAAATAGTGGAAGTGCTTCAGCAAAAAAGATTTAAAATACCTCAGTCAAGAATAACCTGGAACTCAGTAGCCAGCTTTATAACCAAAGAAATGGATTACGGCTACAGGCAACAGGGAGAGGAAGTGAGCATGTCTGCACTACATCCTAGGTAAGTATTCCCACTAGCAGGCAATGCCTCAAAGGGCAACTGCCCCTCTTCTATCACTTCATGGGCACCTGGGGATATGTTCCTAAAATACCCTGTATGGTGACTCCCACTGCAGGACTTTAGATATTAGAAAGCATTGCTGAGCAGCATTAAGACAAAAGCTTTAGTTACGTTCAAATGATGGATATGGTTAGTTTCTCTGAACAGCTAAAGTCCGACTACTATCTGCTAAACATAAAGAAAATCCTTAAAATGGTACTGATGTCACTTATATTCCTTGACGGTTGGTAATTAAAATCCCCGCATGCCCCAAACCAGCAAAAGCTAAGTCTCCCTCCCCCAAATGCTATGTAATGATGGTAATTAATTCTCACAGAAAAGATCTTTTGGGGCTGATACTTCTCTCATAGTAATTTTTTGTCATTCAAGTTCTACTAACAACTGTTGAGTTTACACCATGGTGCCAAAGAGGTATATTAGATCCTTCAAGCTATCCAGAGCTTATACGGCTCATTTGGCACCTCTTTGTTGCTGACACATGCAGAACTTTAACAGATGGTCTTACAATACTGGCAGTTGTTTTGTACTGTGCTAGTGGTGAGGGGAAATACTCTACACAAATTGTCTGCAATTCTGGAAAATAAATGAAGTACAAATCCATATTAACCTCAAAAGCCAAACTATAAAAAGTCAGATTAGTCATTTAATGATGTATGTGCTCTGGGTTAAATGCTCAGCTGCTGCAAAATGGCAATATTTCCCTGCAGCCAGGAGAACTATACTTTGCTTCAGTTTCTATCAGGAATATCCATAAAGACTGTATCATTAGAAAGGCATTGAAATGTATTAGGAATAAGCCTTGAAACCCTACCTCATGTGATCAGCCCTGACTATCAGCTAAAGTACCTCCATAAACTGCATATTTTCACATAAAAAGTGACGCAACATGATGCAACTTAGGTTAATCAAATCTCTCTTTTTTTCCCCTGTGCCAAACAGAATTCAAGAAATGTACATCAGCTACTGTGCAAATGTTGAAATCAACAGCAACGACGGCTTAAACAGCAATTTTATGTTTTTCCTCAGACATTTAAAAGGAGCGGTATGTACCACAAGCTGAATTTTACACTCACTCATTTCACCGGCTGCAGCAGACCTTGTACTGTACATAAAACACCAGGATTGCGCCTCCTTATTTCTGTGTGGCTAAATTTTTCTCTCTTATTGTGCCAAATTATCAGATATATCAACTGGGTTGAACTAGGCAACTGTGCATGCTGAACAGTGCTTTCCAAAAGTAAATCAAACCATTTCCCTCACTAGTGTTTCACCTCCACGAAATGTATGTTCGTAATTATGTTTTACAGTCTACTAGTGCAAATTTATAACAGGCTTTTAGAAAATCACAGATGTTTTAGTCCTATCATCACCTCTTCTATTCCCTTTAAATGAAACATAGCTTGAATGATACTTAAAACTGACATTTCAGAGGCCTGGTCATTCAGTTCCCATCCATTTTAATATATATATTTAGATGGTATGTCAGTCACCTTCTATGTTATTTCCATAATGCCAGTTACACTGAGACACAGTTCCCTAAGGTAGTTTTAAAGCCGTAAAAGGAAGTAGAGCCCTAAAAGCATTATCATAGAAGAGTCCTTCAAATGCAAGAGGCGTGTTCCAATCCTCTGCTCGGACTGAATCACAGCTGTATACATTTTTTTTTTATTTTATCCATTAAGGTTGCTTTAGAAACCATGGTTGCTGGAGCTGGCTGATATTACACATCTGTGACTTTGATACAAATGAAATAATCTTCGCCAGTTTTATGCCTCATTTTATACTGAAAGATCAAACAACAGCAAAGTTTGGAGCTGTTAACAAAAAAGTAATAAAATACTAAAACAACGAAATTTCAGATAGGTTTCATGTTTTCTTTTCCTCCCTCAGGACTTTTGCCAGATGACACAACATATTTCCTCAAAGTACTTTCACAAATGCAAGATTATCTGGAAGCATAAATTATTTCTCCTCATGAAAAAAAGAAAATCAAAAGAAATGTTAAGCAGACAGTCCCAAGGTAGGAACATCAATCCCTCTTTCTCTTCCCAGGCACAAACATTTTGTCAAATATTTCAAGGTATGATCCTCAATGTAGCACTTTGCTGGAAATTCCTGGGAGAGAAGAGGGGTTTGTATACATATTTTAGTACAAATAATGCAAGCACATCCTATCCCGGGAAGAAGTCCTCCCTTACAGATGCAGAATATGAAGCAACATGATGGCAAAACTTAGTAACTTCCAGTTACTGAGTGCCTTCCCAGCTTCTACAACAAAGGTCATGGGCACCCCCTTCCTTAAGCCCATGCTCTGCAGAGCTCACCACAGATCCATTTATAGGTGATCATTTCCTGCTCTTGGAACATACAGAAACCTTTCTGGCAAGAGGGACACGAAATTAAAGGAATCTCTTGGGGAAAAGACAGAAGGAAGGTGATAGGAGCACAGGATTTATTTTATCCATTCTAATAACATTCAGCACTTTGCCAGACACCTTCTAGGGAAGGCTCAAGTAGCCTTGGACTAAACAATAATGAAACCATCTGTCTACAGCTGCAATTAAAGGTCATTCTTAATGATCTGGAATGCTGTACTTGGTAAAACAGTAGGGATTCAGGAGATTTATAAATCTAAAAGAGAAAAAAACACAAACAAAACACAAGTGCAACACTTCCACAAGGAGATTACATCTGTTGGTGAATACAGATCTTCACACTGCAATTCATGTCCCAAGCTGGGCATTACTCAATTTTGATATAACAAAATCCTACGGAATCAGAACACAGTTAGTCTTTGTGATTTATCTACTTGCCTATCTAATATTTTCTGAAACGATATACAACATTTTTCTTCTTAAATACCTTTATAGTTTCAGTAGGCACTCCAGGCTCTGGAACTTTATCCAAGTAAGTAGTCAAGTCTTGATCCACGTGTTCAAACACTAACGTTAGTTTGGTCTCTCTGTCTGTTCGTGACACGGTGCACACGTCAAACAATCTGAGAAGAGGAGAGGAAGAGGTAAGCACACAGGAACCAGTGTAGACATCCGTACCTTGCAGCTCATACATGTCTATTTAAATTTCGTACAGTATATAGAATCATAGAATGGTTTGGGTTTGAAAGGACCTTAAGATCATCTAGTTCTAATCCCCCTGCCATGGGCAGGACAGCCCTGCCATGGGCAGTATAGGATGGCAAAAAGAGGTTTCCAAAGATAGAGCAATCTTTGAGCTCTCGATCATCAGATAACTACTGATACACCAACAATATCTCTCTTTCATGCGTGGATTCTGAAATACAGTTAAAGATTAAAAATTCATCAGCTGTTCAAAGTCAAATAATTACCTGAAAAAAATTCTTTCGGGTACAGCAACTAGAGTTAATACACAAAATTACATGATATTTATCCACATTCTATGCTGCAGCACTTAAGAGTCACTTTAAAAAAGAATAGTGAGAAACATGTTTGAGATACGGGGTGTTTGCATGCACCTTCTTCCCACATAACTCCCATGCTCACCATTACACCACTTTGTATCTCCTTTGGCAGGAACAGAACATTTTTGCTGATTACTCATGCAAGTTCCTGGATGCAAGGAATACCTTCAGTCAGGATGCAGTCTGGAGAAAAACTTTGTGCACAAGATGCCACTGCTGAGAAAGATTTCCTCTCTCATCACTTTCTGTCATTCTTTTGCTAAAATTTCGCTATCATTTTACCTTGTTGCACAACATCAGACTAATTTGCAAAGCTCTTCATAATGTCACATTCCTGTCTGATTACTCTATTTTCTATTGTTTTCTCTATTTAATTAGGATTTCTCTCATCTTCTCCACCTCACCTACAGTCCCAGCTTTAATCACTGTTTTATCTTTTTCACAAATGTCTGCCCATCCTGTTGTGCTTGACACCTTACTCATACCAGTGACTTTCACCATCCTTCCTTAAGTCCCACCTCATCAAAATCACAATCGGAAACCATCTCACAGATGGAAGGATGCTGTTGCCCCCTCACATACTTTACTCATGTGTTTATTCATTTAGTTTTAAATTGTACAGACCAGATTTCCCTTCTCTCTGAAGCAAGGCAGAAAATCAATTGCTACTTTAATTACATGACAGTTGATCTAAAAAATGAATGAATACAGTCACCAAGAAAAAAAGTCTATACAGTTAAACTGAAAAACTTAACCATTGATAACAAACCAAAGTAGTGTTTATACTACTGCTTATTTTGGTCAACATCACAGCAGTTATGATGCCTTATTACATGTATTTTTCAACCTCTTCCTTAGAATAACTGCTTCCTTATTTTGTGCAAACTGCAGGATTTCTGATCAAACAGTATTTTTATTTTTTGCTGAAGGACTTGAGGCTTTTTAAACAGGATCTGTTTATACGCAGGATCTGTAGACAACAGATCACACGCAAACCCTCCAGGGTCACTGCTTTTCAAAGAGGACATCTGACGAACAGACAAGGAGAACACTTGCTAGTGAGTTCTTACTTCTTACCTTAAATCTCAAAACATTTCACAAGAGAAGGGAAAAAGTGGCACAACTGTCTGTGAAGACTGTAATCCAGGTTTAAGAGAGCAGTATGTTCACTTGAGATGATAGAGATTTAACATGTTAAGGCCATGGCTCCACTTTAACAGCATTTCTGAAATATTCCGTGGTCAGACACTTAAAAATTGTTTATTAGCTACCAAGTTTTGCACATGGATGAATGTGCGCTCCTTTTAGCTTGAAGAGATTTTTCAGTGGGAACCGGAGTTACAAAATATGGAGGGACTGCCACCCTACCTCCAGGGTACCGTTTTTGACTAGAAGACAAATCTGTACTTAATCTGTAATCATCATATGAACAAATATTAATTAAATTATTATGGTAACACAGCGACTGTAACAGCAAATGTCTCGGCACATTTCTCATAAAGACAAATACCGTCCTCTTTACTATTCCCTTAATGGGGTGTACACAGAAGATAGATGTCCTGTACACAGTAAATCAGTTTTGTGAGAAGTCACAAACCTTCCTGAAAAGTGCAATTTGCTGGTATTTGGCTGGAGGTTAATAATCTGCAATATATTTATATAAATCAATGTGGAATGTAGCCGGACTGCCTATAACCCCAACACATGCAAATAGAGAGGAGCCAGACAGGTCTGAACATCTGAACATAAACACTGGAAAATATTTCCAACTGTATGATTCCTTTGTGTTGACCTATATTTACCTAAAAATGTTCTAAAACACCTTTTTTTTGCCAGGTATTTAATACACTGGCAGGATTATCTTTTCAACTATAGCAGAATTATAATTCAAGAAAAGAAGGAAAAAAGATTTCACTGTATAGAATAGAGAAGGAACATGTAATTTCCAACTCATTGTGGAGGGAAATGCTGATTCTCTGTTTAATTCTTCTGTATGTGGCTTATTTTGATTCTGGCATTTTCTGGCACAGCAAAATAAAGAACTCAGAGGAGTGCAACTCTAGTCACCTATTATTAAGTAATAATTTTATCACTAATAATATTATCTTTCCTACTTATATACCCTTTATGTGAAACACTAAAAGCTTTACTGTTAATAATAAAAACACCAGATCCTGCATGAGGCTGGGTGGAAGCACACTGTGATTACTCACAAAAAAATACAGCTTCTGCCTCAGAAAGACAATAATTTAACGCACAGTTTGTATGAATCTGCAATGTTACAAAAAACAACATCCGGCACTGCCCATGCTCGGCATTTTGCAAACAGAAAGACACAGCCTATTTATTTAGTACTTTCCACAGTAATAAAAATACTTTTAATAAATTATATTCTTTCATATCCACTGTGAGAAAATAATCCATGAAGTTGTCTTCTTTACCTGGAACATCTCTGCTGTCTACAGTGAACATCTCTCAAGCTACTTCCTCATGATTTTCTGTACGTGACAGGTTAGTTTTTGCATGTGATTGCCCCTCCGGAACAGGCAACAGTAAGAGGCCTCTGATTTAAATAGTTACTATGTGGACGCTGTCCTAAGTGAAATAAATGTACCTCAATTAATACAGGATTTCCATACTGAACACTTTGTAAACGCAAGCCCTGCCCTTCTATTGTACTTACAAAAGAAGCGTTTGAATTATCTGATTAAAGTCAGATCGCTATGGGAAATCCTGCAAGTATTTAACAAGATGTTTGGCTGGGAGTCATACACCGCCTGATGTGTGGATCTGAACTGGAACATTGTTGAACAGACACTTAGGGAGTACCTGCGTTCTAATGCAGACATTTTTCCAAGTTAATGGAAAGTAAAAAGTTACAAGTAAAAAAAAATTATCAGCTACAAATCTATGTCTCTCTTTTACGTGTCCAGCGTCCAGTGCCTAGTGGATCTTACTGTAACCTAGCAGCATACCTGCCTTCATACAAAAATACTCTGGTTTTTTTGAAAGCAGAAAACTAGATGATGCATGTTAAAGTCTCCATAGCTTTTTACAAGAAGTAATTCGACAAATACAACCTCAGTTTATCTTAATTTTACAATATACAGGCTGAAGGCGTAATTTTTTATAAGAAGACACAGTTATGCCAATTTCTGTGAAAACTATTGCATCTACTGACTGGTACTAATTTGGTAACTGCTTCTGGAAAGTCCTTAAATGTTACTGTACTTGCTCTTGGGATTCTCTGAGACCTGCTATAAATTTACCCACTTTCACACAGAATAAACAATTTTTTCCTGAGCAAACTTCTTAGATAACAACAACAGAGATCAAACCCATCAGCCCAAGCCACCTGCAAGAAGTAGTAAAAATCAGATGTGAATGTAAGACCTGAAAAACTCTAGGACATAAGTTCTCTTGGCTATTGACAGATGAGTAAATACATCTGGAAAATTAGCTAGATCATAGTCAAAGGGAAGACCAAAGAATCAGATACTTGCTGCCAATGCATCCAAAGGGTGTTATTTTTACTGCAGTAGGACTAATCCAACATGAACACATATCCCTCTACTTTGCTGGTCACTCACAGCGCTGAACAAAAACACACACTTTATGCTCTAAAGTTACATATGGATTTACTTCAGTTTTCTCGGGAACAGTGTCTTCCTAGCAAGAGTTGCTTCCTGGTTTATGTGTGACGGAGAAAGAGAATTAGAACCACTGATTTATGAGTAGGAGAAATGTTTTAAGATGACTGTGATGTGGTAAGCAGTGGCACAGTAATATGCTAAAGCTTTACGATTTCGTAAGTCTGGATAGAGACTGAGATAGAAGGAGTCTGGTGGTCTCAACCTAACTCCGAAAGGTATTTATCCACATGACAGAAAACCAGCATAGAATTTATGTATGATTGACAGCATTTACCCAACCACCACAAGATTGGGACACCAAGACTGTCACAGGTTGTGATTGAGTTTTATTGACAAACACATGAGGAGGAGCCTGAACAGGTTCTGTTTTCACTGCCTTTGGCTCAGGTTAATCCTGTGAGTCGTAATTTCCAAGGGCACAGAAAATTTTAGCCTCTGATACCTACAAGCATTGAAGAGTATCAGTCAGGCATCCTCTGAGTCCAAATTTCAGCAGCAGCCTTAGACTCTTCTGTTCTGTGGAAGCCACACAGCGGCAAGCCCTTCTTTCACCCCAACTTCCTAAACTACGTAGTCCTTGAAAAAAGACCCAGGTTTCCCTGTACTTCTTATATTAACTACCATCTCCTTTCTTGTCTTTGAAGAGGAAAAGAGACTCTACTAACAGAAACCAGACTCTACTTGGAATCACATATACTCAATGTATTGTAATAAAGGGGTCGTATTTCAGGTGAAGAAGACAATAACTGGGCAAGTGCAGTGGAACATATGAATTACGAGAATCATTTTCCACATAGCAAAACAGGAAATAGAACTTCACACTCTAAACCATATGACAGAACTCCTTCCCTTTGTTCAGGACATGCTGCTTTGTCTCACCTTAATCAGCAATCACCTACTCCTCCA